TGGTGTACTGGATAAAAGGATCTGAGATGATAGGCATTTAGCAATGGAGTGGTATGTTGGAGGTGGGGGGAGTATTCTACAATCCTGTGATTAAGTCTCAGTTTTTTAGTGAGGCTGTGAAATGAGTGAAGGAGGTCAAAATGCACAACTTCCAGTTATAAAATAAATAAGTCAGGGGGATGTATTGTACAGCATGGTGACTATAGTTAATAACACTGTAGTGCATATTTGAAAGTTGCTAAGGGAATAAGTCTTAAAATTTCTCATCACAAGGAAAAAAATTATAACTGTGTATGGTGACAGATGTTAGCTAGACTTATGGCAGTCACTTTTCAATATACATGAATATTGAACCATTATATTGTACACCTAAAACTAATATAATGTTATATGTCAATTATACCTCCATAAAAAATCTATGTACATTTAGTGTAATTTAGGGTAAAATCTTTTATCTTAATATGAATTTTCTATATTTCCTTATTTGTTCTGTGCTTTCATATTCTTCTTTTTACTTTCTTTTTGGATCAATCAAGATTTTTATTACTGCCATTTTTCCCCTCCTTAATGTTGCTAGTTATGCTTTTTTACTATTTTTTTGGTGATTTATAGAGATTACAGTATACATCTATGACTAATATAAATGAGTAGTTTTCCTACTTCTTGGAGAATTCAAAGATCTCAGAATAGTTTAGGTATATTTAACTTTTTCCTCTTTTATGTTATTGATGTCATGGTTTTAGTTTTATATATTGTATATATATTTTAAACTCTATAAGACATGATATTTATTGTTTGATATAGTTAATATTCATTATATTCACTCACATATTTCCCCTTTGTATTCCTCTTCATTCTTTTATGCATTTCCACATTTATATCTAGGACCATATTTCTTTATCCTAAAGAACTTATTCAGTGTATGTTTTCACGCATATGTCCTGGCCATAAATAATCTGAGACTTGGAGGTGAGGCAGGAGATGAATCCAAAGATTTTTATTTCATCTTCACTTTTGGAGGATGTATTCGCTGGGCATAGAATTCTAGATTAGTAGTTATTTTCTCTTGGTGCTTTAAATATGGCATCTATTATTTTGTTTGAAAAGTCAACTGTCAGTTTTATCATTGTTTTTTAAAAAGTAATATGTCTTTATTCTCTGGCTACTTTTAAGATTTCCTCTTAATCTCTTGTTTTCAGCAGTTTTAGTATGATATGCCTCTGTGTGTGTGTGTGTGTGTGTGTGTGTGTTTCCTCTTTGGGTTCTGAAGTGGTTCTTGGTAGTGTGCTTTCAGTATTGCTACTGAAGTGGCCTACAAGTCTTGTCCCTTCTCGGGTTTGTAAACAGATTATCTATCAAAAATGCAAACTTAACCATGTTATTGCCTGTCAGGTCTTTCAAGCACATGTGAGATAAAGCCTCGGCTCCGTACCCCAATCCAAAGGCCTCCATGACCTACTTAGATTTGCATCCTCATTCGTCCTCCTCAATCTAGCCTTCCCCTTCACCAACAATGACAAATATATTCATCCTCCTCTGCAAACTTTCATACCTCTATGTCTTTGCTTTTGCTATTCTCTGTATTTGAAATAGCCTCTCCTTATCTCTACCCACACACACATCTGAATCCAGATAACCACTAATCATCCTGCAAAATTTATCTTAGATACCAGCTCTTCCAGGAAACTTCTCTGTAGCCCCAGCCTGGACTGTCCCTGTGTTGCCTGCACTGACCTCCACGGCAGCTCTTCCTGCTCGGAATTGAAGTTGCCGTTTTAGGGAGTCGCCTCCTCACTGACCACACAAGAGACTAAGCGATTCAGAAGTGAGAACCAGAGACTGCTTACCTTCCAATGCCCAGTGCTTAACCCAGGGCTGTCACAGTGTAAACAAATATCTGTGGAGTAAGTTAGATAAGATCAAGATAACTAGGCTCCAACAAATACTAACTTCTTCTCAGCTTTGTTGAGTCCTTCCTGTGCACTTGGCACTGAGCTGAGAGGTCTCTACCCCTTATGTCCTTTAACCTTCCAGAGAGATCCGTGAGACAGGTGCTCTAATTATCCTCATCTTACAGATGAGGAAGCTGAGGTTCAGAGATGTCATATATTTTGCTCAAAATTACACAGATGGTAAATGACAAAGCTGTTTCAAATCTAAGCCTGTGTAACTCCAGAACATGAAGCGTTACCCAGAAAAATGCAGACTGACTGACCTTCTCAATTGCTAACTTTTTTCTTCTAAAGATTGGCACCTGAGCTAACAACTGTTGCCAATCTTCCTTTTTTTTTTTCCCCTGCTTTTTCTCCTCCAATTCCCCCAGAACGTAGTTGTATATTTTTAGTTGTGGGTTCTTGTAGTTGTGACATGTGGGACGCCACCTCAATGTGGCTTGATGAGCAGTGCCATGTCTGCGCCCAGGATCTGAACCAGTAAAACCCTGGGCCGCTGAGGCGGAGCGCATGAACTTAACCACTCGGCCCCGGGGCCGGCCCCAATTGCTAACTTCTGAGAATAGCACCCAGCCTCCTAGCCTCACAAACAATTCCCTAGATTTGAACACTAGTTACTATGTTGTTGCCAATACAAAGCTCTTTCTCAATAAATGGTTATCAAATCTTTAAAAGAATAAATGAAAAAATGAAATTTTCACGTCTGAATTTAGCAGGCTTATGTCTGAGTCATCCGATATCCCTGGGGCATTAGGAGAATTAACATAAAGAAATGTTAATTCAAACTCTCCTCAAGATCTAGGTGTGAATTAGACTCTTGGAGACAGAACCTGGACTATTTTAGGCCATTTACATGGGAAGTTTTAAGTGAATTCTTCAGACTGCTGATTGAACATAATTATGCGTATTCTATAGGTACAAAAAGAGCAAATGTCCTAAGCATGGTGGTCTCCCTCTTCTGAAAGGATAATATGAACAAAATCGTCTACCCACAAGCTCACTGTGGTCTGAAGGAGTTAAAGAATCTTCCAGAGAAAGCTGATTTGCGACCAGAGTGCCAAGTAGCCCCAAGAGGCTGCTGAGTCCTGGGGCAGCATTTCCTTCCTCCAGGCGTTGTGTTTTGCACTACGGGCCACGGGGGATGCACTGGGTCATGTATGTCTCAGAGGCCTTCTCAGTGCTGAGTGGGAACTCTCACCCTCTCACCGCTGGAAAGCACATACGTGGTTGTGTGATATGCATCTGTGGCTTAGCAGGGGCACCCACACTCTGTTCTTGGGCAGCCTTTGGGATGCAGTCTCATCCTGCAGCCTGGAAACACACTCCTTGGCTTCAGTTGCAAAAGGGGGGAGGGGAGTGAAGGTGGGAGGGGCTACTGTTTGATATCCTTCAGGTGTGTCCTTGTTTTCATAGGTTACTCCTTCCATATTCAATTCCTTTCATTTCTAGCTCCTCTCTCCCTGGAGTACTATTCTCCTCAAGCAGAAGGGCAGGAGAAGGATGGTACAGGTGGGAACTGCTGTCTGTCAGTGAGTGGTGCAGCTTTTCCTCAGCGGGTGTGAAGCTGGGAGTGCTTTATACATGGAGAGATGCTATGCAAATATAAAACATCGCTATATTGTATATTATTATTTGAGGGGTAAATGTTAAATTGCGAAGAAATGGCTGCCTGGAATGACACCTGAGACAAAATGAATCAAGCAAATTAGCCTGGTTAATTTAACAGGGGTTAAGAGAATTCAGAAATTGAGACAGAACCTAAAGGAAATGGGAATAAAAATAGGTTTGGGAGATTAGGAAGAAAGCCTTTTGGTTTTTATTTGTTGGAGGGAGTCAATGCATGGCGAAACCTACAATTTGCACAACAGGCCATATTTTTCAAAGCACTTTAACACGTGCCTCAGCTGATTTGATCTGCACAGTAACCATATGAAGAGGATAGCAATACAACCCTTTTGTGCCAATGAGGAAATAGATATCCAAGTGTTTGTCCATTGTCCGTGGGGAGTCAGGTGAGGCTGGGCCCTGAAACCTGTTCTTCTGGTTCCAAACCCCTAGTCTTTCTCCTATAGTATAGAATCTTGATCTAAAAGCCGCCACTCTACTTAGAATGTGATTTTATTATTAAATCAGTTTTCTTTCCATTATGCTGCCCCTTAGACAAAAGCGGGAGTGCAGTGTGGTCAGTGTAGTTGTGTCAGGTGGCAGGGCTTTTGCAATTGACTTAAAGTTCTTGTGTAAAGTCACAAGGAGTCATCCCTGGGATTGTATTCAATCAAGAAAATGGGATTTTAGGTAAATCGCAAAGCCCTGAACTGCAGACTTCACACAGAGGCAAATGCTGCCCTGTGATTCAGCCCCACCCTTCCTCTTCCACGGTGGTGGAACAGATCTTGTCAACAAGTGTGCTTTGGGCACTGTGCTGGGCACCACTGGGAATAGAGTAGAAGTTTACTACAAGATCCTTGCTCCCCAGAGCCTGAAATCTAGACTAAACAAATGCACACTCAAAAAATTGTGCGGTGCCAGTCCTCCCTGAAACAGCCCTTCAGAGCCAGGAGAGACCAGTGAGACGGCCGGGAGCTGCAGGAAGCTGTAGGAAGGAGGTGTCATTTAAAGCAAGCCAGACGTAGATAGGGAATTAAATAAACTTAAAGGGGAGGCACATATTTCCAAGTGGAGGGACAGCATGAGCAAAAGCTTAGAGGTAGGAATAGCTGGCGTATGGGTATGAGATAGCAAAGAAGCCATCTTCACTGAGGCAGGAGGGCAACCCACCCACTCAATCTGTTTTTGGGAGGAGAAACACTGAAGGCCAGGCCAAACCAGAGGCAGGAACAACAAGAAGAGGATTGGCTTTGGTGATGGGGTAGCAGGGACTCCGCCCCCTCCCAGCTGTATCTATAATGTTGACCAGGATGGTCCTCAGAGTGGTGGGCTGCCCACACTCAGTGTGGATGTGATATTTTTAAAGGGGGAGGCGTAGCTGTAGGGAGGTGGGAGAGAAGAGAAGGAATATTCGGGGATGGAGGGGAGGTAGGTGCCTACCTGAGCACATTGCCCCATGGGAAAAAGTTTTCCACAAGATCAACCTCCTTCCTTGTCTTTGCAGGTTGATTCCTGCCAATGATCTTCCTTTGGGAGACTTCCCAATTTCTCTTTCTTTCCCGCTTGGTACATACTTTTTCTTCTTATGGTGGATTCTGTATTTTTAGCCCAGGCAGTTGCTGTGGCAACCACTAGAGCTGAACATTTTGTTTCCCAAGAACAAATGCATGTTTAAATATTCAAGCAATTTTCCGTTGTTCAAAGGAACTGAGATTTCACAGGCATATTATCTAGACCATATGAGAGAAATTGAATTTTCTCTCCTTTAGTTTACAGTGTTCACACTTCTCCAGGGTTGGGATGGAGGTCAGGATTAACGTTTACATCCAACATGGTAATCCCTTTCAGAAGGAGAATAAGGAATAATTCTATTATGTTTTACCCACCCCACCAAACTTTTTTTAAAAGATCTTAACCATGAGTATTCCAGACAATGAGGATGGGGAGCTCATTTCTTCCCTCCTTGAGAAATGAAGATGCATAAAGAGATACTCTTCTTCAATCTTACAATAAAGAAGTACCATCCCTCTCACGTCTAACTTTCTCCAGACAATGCTGGCATTGAAATACGGCTTTTGTTAAATCTTTTGACCTTTCCTTACATTAGAGAAATTGTAGAAACTGCATTTACTGTGTCTGTGTATTCTTTTTTTTTCCTCAAGAATATTGCATATACATATTATAGACTGTGGATTGCAAACACGTATCTATTTTAACATCCGAGGTTCTGAATCTTATCCCAACCTCCAGATTCCTTTCAAGCACACTGGAGTGTGAGAATGGATCTCTCACACATCTAGACAAGGTGCTCTTAACCTTGGGTCCAAGAACTTGGATGGAAAGAAATGACATCATTATTTTTGCTAACTTCTAACTGAGATATTTGTTCCATTGTGATTGTAGGTAGCAAACAACAAGTCAGCCCAAGAAACCCCACCACATCACAATTGTTGAAAGTTATATCAAAATTTTGTGTGTACTCATCACTTCTTTGAAATTATGGTAGCTATCAGATATACAGTACCATCCACTCTTTTTGCTTCTTGAGTTAATAAAGAATATATGTATTCACTCACATCACAAATTTTATTTTTAGCATTTTGAGAACTGTATTTAAATTTCTTTCCTTTGTAGTAAATTATATTTTATTTTATGCATTTAAAAACATTTTTCTGAGAAGGAGGTCTGTGGGTTTTCCAGATTGCCAAAGAGGTCCACGGCACATGAAAATTCAACAACTTCTTATCTGTGTGTTTGCGCTCTAGTATTACCATCTCTGTATCTGTGACTAGCTGTGTCTTAAGGAAGCATTTCGACCCATCTCCATTCATTTATTAAGATCACTCAAACACTGAGCCATGTTTCTCAGCAGCATGATTTGGACCTTGTCGAGGAAGCCCTGGCACTTTTTGAGAGCTGATGGTCTTTTTGAAGATGATATTAGTGTTGATTCACCAGCACCTGGGACACTGTCTGCACTCTCTTCACTGCCTTTGGAAGCCATGTGTGTAATTGATAATTTAGAGACAACCCTATCGAATGAAGTATCAGTCAGGGTAGAGTCAGGAGTCAGAAACCATTCTGGATATTTCAAGCAGGAAGGGATCTAATACGGGGAAATAGAGGCTGGGGCTGGAGGAGCAAAAGTCAGGGAAAGCTACCACTGGTTTTCTGGAAGTCAGGAAGCTTAAGGAACTGCTGGAAACCATCACTGATATTCTGAGCTGTTGTAACACCAAGGGGCATGATTCAAAGGACACCCGGAAGCTGCTGGACAGCATCACATCCACTTTCTCCTGAAGTCCACGCAACTCACACAACTGCCTGTTGCTGCTGCAGGAAACTTAATGGCTCTACTTCTCTGCTTTCCAGGTTTTGCACTTGTTTTTCATTGTTGGAGCCTAACGCAGAACCTCAATGGATGGGATTCTGAGAATTATAGATTTCAGACTTCCAGCCTCTGGAAAACAGAGGCAGCATTGGGGCAGGCAGGTGGGGGGCAGTGGGGGGAGTGGGGGAGGCAGGGAGTAGGGAACAGGGCAAGAATAACACAGAGCCAAAACAGACAATCCAGCACACGAGCCCAGTGGCTGGTGGTGTGGTGGAGAAAATGCAGGTTTGGATGTTGGGCTATCTGAGCGCTAACCTTGGCTGTATGCCTCTGGGTAATTCACACGTGTCCTCTCTGGGACTCAGCGTTTACATTTACAAAGGTCTAATTTTTAAACTCCACTACATTATAATTACCATCTCTTTCAGTCCTGAATCTCACTGGTTCCAGGAATGGGGCTGCATGGAATTCAACCCCCAGAAATGAAGATTGACTTCTCCCTTCATGAGCACTGATGAATGAGGGGTCATGAGGAGAACCTGCCAGGCAACCGGCTTAGGAACTCTTGAAGGACCCTTAAGGTTTTCTTGTGCTGTACAGAGAGGATGCCTGTCCTCCCCGTGCCACCTTGTATGCCTGAAAAACCCACCTGTGATTATGGGCTGACATGTCTGTCTACACGGAGGTTCTAAGTAAACTACCAGCTGGAAAGCGGTGAAACTGAGTCCAAAAGCCGTGCCTGAGGCTTGATTGCTTTATGTGAGAGTCTCATCACTCTTGTGCATTTACATGGGAGTATTTTGGTGATAATTTCTTATGAATCAGAGGCATCTCTGTGTGATATGATCAACCATCTTGAAGAATCTCCCGCTAATCTTGTTCTTATTCACCGGCACCACTTCCCCTACTCGCTCCACCTCTCCATAGTCTTGCCAAGTGAGGGAAAAAGCAGACTGAGAATACAATGTCTCAAATATCCCAAACCGGTCAAAGCAGTATGGTTTGGACAAGAGCATTGTGTTGCTGCTTCCCAGGCGGCTCTGGCTGAAGCCGTCTTGGGAAGTCCTCTTCTCTCCTACAGGCAGGCGCACCCTGGAGGCCAGAGCCACTGCACTCAGAAGGCTGAGCTCATCGTCCAGAGATCCGGGCTGCCATACTGTCACCAATCAAGTGAAGGCTGGAGGGAGGAGGTTTTGAACGGCCAACATTAATTCTCTGAGCCTATTCCTTCCAAAGTGAAAGGATTATGTGCAGCTGAGAGAACTGGTTTAACAGGAATTTTCAATAAGGAAGGGACTTACTATTTGATTTCATGCTTTACAAAGGGCAAGCCTTGGCTTCCACAGGATTGCAACCATTCTGTTCCTGTCCCGAAAGTGAGAAGGACTCTGAGCAGAGGTGAAGCAAAGTCCGAGGCCCAGGCTTCCCAGCATCCTTGGCTCTGTTGAGAGGAGATAAGTTGGCTGGATAGCTGAGAGGGCATGCAATTTTGGGATCTCTGCTTTACACTGCCTACTTTCAGCCCTGGAGTGACTAAGAGAAAATCAATTGCATTCACTTTTAAAAAGCAACTATTGATCACCTATGTGTAAAACTCGCTTCTGAAGCTATTGGGGATTCAGGGGTGAAAAGTACACGGTTTCTGACTGGAAGATTTCATAAGCTGATTGAAATGAGTAACACATCTAAATAACTTTGAAACAACTCTGTGATGAATGTTAAAATATGGTTACAAATATCCTTTATGGGAGAGAGAAGAATTAGTTCTTTCTCTGTGAGTCCGAGAAGGCCTCTTGGAAGATATGAGATTTGAGTGGGCCCTGAAGGAAATGGAGGAGTTTAATAAATAAGTAAGTGATGGAGAAGATTAGCAAGGGAAGAGGAAACATTTGTTATAGGAGCTAAAACTTGAACTGACGCCCAAAGAAGAAAAGTGAAGGACATTATTTGAGAAATATGGAGTAATTTCAGATGAATTTACTAAGTGGGGTGGAGGAGATAGAATTACATAGTTAGAAGCCAGCCTGTGGAAGGCTGAGCTGAATGGTTTCGAGTTTATGCCATAGATGGTAGGGAGTCCTCATGTAACCTTCCTCTGTCTCCCCTTCTGGAACAACCTCTCTTCTATGAGCTCTCCTAGTATGTGTTTGCCTATTTGTTACATCTTATCTCCTTTATTTAATGGTAACCTCCTGGAGAGCAGGGCAGGTGAGGTTTTTGATCAAGGAAGTCATAGGACCAAGGCTGTGTTTAGGGAAGGTGGTTCTGGTAGAAGTGTGTGGGCTGGAACTGGAGAGATGGAAAGACTGGAGCATGAACTGGCTGGATGTTATGAGTGGAAAGTGGGACATGGGTCTCAGTAACGTCATAGAGATAGAGCTGACAGGACTAGAGGACTGGCTGCCAGCAGTTAGCTTGTCTAATCTTTAGTTTCTGACATTTGATAAACCAGAGTCATAGACTTGTTTTGTGAAATAGGAGAGCTGACGCAGACTTAGAGATAATCCAGTCTTTGCCTTATTTTTACAGACAGGGAAACTGAGAACCAAAGAGGCCCAGTTCCAAATTGTAATGTGTTTTAGCAAAGAGTTCAACTATTCATATTAACTTTTCACATGACCTGGAAAGTTAGTTTCTAATTCAAAATGTATCCTTAATTTATAAAAAGGCCAACTGAGGCATGAACAGATGAAAATGGGGCTTCCAGGCAGATCCCAGGTATACAAAAGGGCTCTCCTTCTACCATATCATCTCCCAGCACTGGGAGAGTTCAGTTTGATATTCAGTCATTAAAAACAACCTTCTCTCCCATTCATTTCCCTTTCCCATCTTGGTGTCGACTCTTTGGTGTTTAATTTTGTTCTTCTTTATCTTAGGAAATATTATGAGGCAAAAGCTTGACCTACCTGTGGTTGTGGCCAATTTAATTCCAAATATCAGTCTCAGTGGAGTCCAGCCAAGACTACCCAGTTGAAAAAAAACAAAGACGGGGCCTTAAGAGATGATCTGTGCAGTGCACTGAGGAAATTAAGCTAGCCTATGTCCAAGGATTTTTCAAGAGGCAAAATTCTACGCTGCTGTGATCCCTGGTTAAACCATCACTTTATTTACTTCCATGTTCTTAGCCCTGAGACCAGCTTTCATGTCCTCACTCCGCCAAAGAAGGCAAGGATTAGCCAGGGCAGGAACAAGCTCATTCCGGTTTGAGCTATCCTAGGAGGAGGACTTTGCTAAGTAGTTTCAGTTCTGAAACTTGTGCTCCAAGGCCCAGCTCAGATGGGTGTAGGGAGAGGGCAAGAAGATGCAACTTCAGCTGCTTCTGTTTAGGGCAGGCCGTGGGGCTGGAACATTTCGACTCTCGGCAAAGGCAGAAATAAGAAAATTTGGGGAAAAAAAATCTATCTGTGTTTCCAGTGTAAGAAGAACACAAAATTTAGAGGCAAAGAGAACTAGAAAGAATCAAAATTCCATGAGACTTCAAACTTTGTGGCATGGCCTTCAAAGCTTGGTTGAGTTTAAAGCACAACAGTAGCCCAGAAATGCTCTTTAAACTCGTGGGTATTCCAGTAAAAATTACTATAGGTTATACTTACTGAGCACTTGCTATGTGCCAGCCACCATGCTAAGTGGCTTTTAAAAAAATTATTTTATTGTTTTATTTTCCAGCTTTATTGAGGTATAATTGACAAATAAAAGTGTAAGATACATAAAGCGTACAATAGGATGATTTGATATATGTATACATTGTGAAAGGAGTCCCCCAACTGAGTTAATTAACAGATCCAACGCCTCACATATTTACATGTTTTTTTTCGGCGAGAACATTTAAGTTCTATTCTCTTAGCAAATTTCAATTACATAATACAGTGTTATCAACTATACTCACCATGTGATACGTTCAATCCTCTAAGAGTTTCTTAATTAATCTTCACAGCAACTCATTTCTATTAATACTCCCATTTTTCAGATAAGAAAACTGATACTCGGAGAAGTCAAGTAAACGGCCCAAAGTTGGAAATGGCAGAGGTGAGATTTGAAACCAGGCAGGCTGACTTCAGTGCCTATGCTGGAAAGCACTACACCTCATTGCCTCATCCACATGCACCACTTCACCCAGCACAAATGAATGAACAAATGAATGCTGAAATGCTTTGCTCATTTAACAGTCTTCCTTACACATAGCAGAGTGATGGGGCGTGACTCTGAAGGTTTGACAAGTATGGTCCATCTTTATTACTGACGAACTCTGTATTTGCAAATTCCCCT